CTGGGTGCGGTGCGGTGCGGGGCCGGGGCTGTCCCCGGGCGGTGAGCCGGGGGGGCGGGACGGGGAGGGGAGCGGCGCAGGCTCCGGCTGGGTGCGGCTGCAGGCAGCGCGCCAGCAGGACGTCTCCCGCAGTGCCCCGGGCCGGTGCGGCACCCGGAGCGCAGAGCTGTGCCGGGACACCCGTCAGGGCGCTGCCGGCTTCCCCCGTGTGCGTACAACAGAGGAGCGAGTCCCCCGCGCCCCCTCCTCCGTCCTGCGCGTGCTGATGGCCGGGGTCGCGGCGCGCTCCGCAGTGCGGCCTGCTGCGACGAGCCGCAGAGCCGCCACCGATAAACTCTTATGTCCGGAGCAGCGACAGGCTCTTCTTGCCCTCACACTGGGCCTTTGCTGCCTCCCCTTGGGTTGGTGTGTCATGGGGCAGGTGCCAAGGGCTGGGCTGGCTGCCCTACCTGCATCTGCTCTTCGAGCCGTGCTGCGACGCTAAGGGCTCAGCCCTTCCCTGCTCCAGTGGGTTGCAGGCAGGGCGCAGAACTTGGGTTTCTCCTGTCCTTCGTTTGGTGTTGTTCTCTTCTCCTTGTGTCCATCGTACCAGAGCTGACTTCCCACCATCCCTTGGGCTGGGGGGAGCAGGAGGGTGGTGTAAGAGGGCACAGTCAGCAAGTCCTGATGCAGCTGGAGCTTTGCAGAGGCTGCAGTGAGTGGGCAGAGCTGCAGGAGCAAACGTGATGCCACCTCTCTCCCCCAGCCTGGCAGAGGGCTGCTTCCTGCTGGGTGCGAGGGTGAGAGCCTGTGGCTTTGTTGTGCCCCCTGGCATGGGAAGCTCTTCCCCAGAGCCCTGAGGGTGACACTCCAGCAGGCTGTGAGGATGCTGCTTGGTCAGAGGAGCTGCAATAGGAAGGCGAGGAGCTGGCATGGATCACAAGGACTAAAAGCAAAGTCAAGGGGTCTTGGGGCTGAGGAAGTGACGGACTTGCTTGTGCTCTGGAGGGGGTACATGCTGCCAGGGTTTGGCTCTGGGGGACCAGTACCTGGCCAGTAATCCAGTTAGTTCAGTGTCCCATCTCCACCCCTGGCTCTTGCCGGACACTGGAAGACGTAAAACCCCTGTTGCACTTCTGCCTAATCATAATCAGGCAGCCAGCGAGTGGGTGTCGCTCTCCAGCTGGGCTTCACAAGCAGGGGCAACACACTTACTCCCTCTCCCTGCCCTGTAACTCGAGGGCCCTCTTTAAAAGGGGTATGCGGAGCTTGACAGCCAGCTCCTGCTGACGGTCTGTGGGAGGTGGGCGCCTTCCTGGCACCCGACACTGGGGCTGCTGTGACTTCCTGCCAAGCCCTGTGGATCCCTCCATCACCGCCGTTCTTCTCAGCAGAAGACGGGCAGGGTCCACTCCTGGCCAGGCCTTTCCTAGCATCTGTTGAAGTAGGTTTTGGACTCTGAACCAGTTGGTCTCTCAGGTGCTGCCCTGTCTTGCCTTCAGACTAACACTGCTGACCTCTCTTCTTGGGTTGGGAAATCATAGACTCGCAGAAAATGAGGGTTGGGAGGGACCTCAGGAGGTCACATCTAGACCAAGCCCCTGCTTAAAGCCAGACCATTCCCATCTGGATCATCCCAGCCAGGGTTTTGTCTAGCTGGGTCTTCAAAACCTCCAAGGATGGAGATCCCACCACCTCTGAGTAACCTGTTCCAATGACTCACCACCCTCCTCGTGATCATGTAATGAGGCCTTTGTTTCCTCTGGTTGGCAGGAATTCGCTCATGGGACATTGACCTTCTCTCGTGTGACTTGAATCAACAGCTACGACTCTTTGTGACCCGGCACCTTGCTCAGTTCTCTTCAGAGGTCAAAGGTCAGCTTTCTTTGCTCTCTCTGTCTTGGTTTTTGGGGTTGTGTGTGTTTTTTTT